TCACAAAAATATGGATTTGTCCTATATAGGTCTGAACATTCGACCCTGAAGTTGACAAATATGTATTTTTAAATATCCGGCCCTGGTTAAACTCAGTGGGTCACAAAACAAAGCAAAAAGACATGGATATGGGGAGGATTTGTAGTGGGGAGGGGAAGGAATAGGAATGGAAGGAAGATGAGAGAAAGTGGGGGTGCCAATAACCAGAATGACACACACGCGCGCATGCACGCGCATATATATGTATATGTATATGTATATGTATATGTATATGTATATGTATATGTATATGTATATGTACATGTATGTGTATATATGTATGGAATTGCCAAAGTGCCTTTACTAGAAGATCAAATTATTATCTATTTCTTTTTTGAAGAACTATAATGTCTGGATTTGGCAAGGACGTGTAAAGAGCTTGGAAGTCACTTTTTCTTTGCACCCCACAATAAGAGAAACTCCAAACAAACAGACAAATAAAAATTAGCTGTGTGTCTTAGGCTCATCTGAGAATTCAAATCTCAAGCCACGAAAGATTGGGAATATACAGCTTCTTCCTTGAGATCAGTTCACCAGAGCCAGAGATGCTGGGGAAAATGACTGGTAAGAACATTTAAGTGATAGCTTTAACAAATCCCTGGAGGTTTAATGGACTAGCTGGAAAGTTCAAAACTCCTAGGGACTCAGTAGCTTGGGGACTGCCAAACTTTAACAGGTTCTTAGCTTCACGAGCACCTCTGGTTTCTTTCTGTGAAGATTTGGGGGGAGGGTTACCTCAAGTTATAAGAAGAAAGGCAAAGTTATGAGAAACTAGGACCAAAGGCCTCCATTCCAAAGTAGTCTACAAGAGTATGCAAATGATTTGGGGGAGAAATAAGCTCTCTGTGCCTAGAAATACTTCTGCAATTCCAATAAACACTTCAAGAGGTCATGGATCAGTGACAACGCCCACTAAAACCCTGACCCTTAATTGCACTATTATAGGAGACTGCTAGTTTCTAATATTTTAGCACCATATTAACAGACTCCAGTAAAGTAAATGAAGAATACCAGGATTCAAGAGTCAGACTCCAGTCTAAGAAGGAAGTTGCAAGGAAACCCAAAAACAACATGTCCCCAGACCACAGGGAACTTGTATTAGAAATCAGTAGCAAAAAGATACCTGCAGGGGCCCCAAACACTTGCAGATTAAATGGGATATTTTAAAAAACATGCAAATTAAAGATGTCTCCAGAAAAAAATATTTTAAAATATCTTGAAAATACAATTTACCAAAACTTGGAGGTACAGAGAAAACAATGATCAGAGATAATGTGTGGCAGTGGTCTGAGCATGGAGGAGGAACTCAATGCAGTACTGTTACAACACTAACAAGAACAATGCTATTAAGGATGAGAGGAACAGGATTTCTTATTCATTGCCAGTGGGAATGTAAAATGGAATAGCTGTTTTGGAAGACATTGTGATGGCTTAGTGCAGCTAAAGATACTCTTTCTGTATTATCCTTGCTAGTTGTCAAAATGATTTTGAATTACCAAAACTTACGTCTACAGAAAAGCAACAGGTGTTTACAGCAATTTTATTCAAAATTGTATAAAGTTGGACCAATCAAGCTATCCTCTAGAAGGTGAGTGGAGATAGTCCATGGCACCCAAGTGACACAATCCTACTTGGTGCTGCAAACATAAATGAGCTATCAAGACCCTAAAGTACACAGAGAAACTTTAGTAATATAGTGAAGTGAAAGAAGTGAATTGGAAAACATTATATAGTGCATGGATTCATATTGTATGGCATCCTGGAAAAGGCAAGCTATGGAGACAGCAGAAAGGTCCGTGGTTTTCTGGGTTTTGAGGGAGAGAAAAATGAACTGATGAAGCACATAGGACTAGGGAGGCAATGAAATTATCCAGACTGATACTGGAAGGCTAGATATATGTCTTTATTCAATAGCGTGCAACACAAACTGTAGTCTTTGTAGTCTGAGTTATACTAACATGCTAATGTAGATTTATCCATTGTATCAAATGTTACATCTGATACAGGGTGTTTATAGAGGGGAAGATATATGTGTATGAAAGAAAGAGGTACATGGGAACTTTTATTTCTAAAATTTTCTGTGGACCTAAATATGTGCTAGAAAGAAAGCTTACTGATAAAACATTTTGTTTTCTATACACCAAAGAATCAATAATATAAAAATAAGATATTCTTTTTTTTTAACTGTAATATTCTTTTTGTTGTTGTTGTTATTGCAAGATGAAACATCCTAACCTGACAGTAGCACTTAAAGTTGTACAGGGGCACCCACTCCTCTCAGAGTTTCCCACCAGGAAAAAGGAGTTTCTAAAAACAACTGGATTTACTAAGTCTGGTCCAATGCCTGCAAGAACAGGGAGAATTAGCCAGGAAAGGCATGGTGGACTGCCTTCCTGTCACTCAGACATCCAGTTCTGTGCACAACTCTTGTAATCACCATTTCCTCAGGCTGAAACCACAAGCTCATCTCCTTTGCACTCTCCACAGAATTGCTGCTGTGAAAGATGTTCCTCCCAGGCTTAGAGTCTGCAGCACTGGTCTTCCCTCATCACCCGGCCTGTCTTCACAGCATTAGCCCCACCCAGACCACAGCAAACACTGCCCTGAGTACATGCATGTATTTCACCAGGCAGGTAATGAACGGATGGCCCTGAGGCTGAGAAATTTCATGCTAAAAGGGTAAATCCCTTCTGTTCAAAATGCTTGATGAATTCTCCCTCAAGGCCCCTGCTGGACCCCATTGGGCTTGATAGCTATGGAGGTGTGCTCATCGTTGGCCATGGTCTGCTTCAGAAGCTTGTGGTTTAACTCTGGTTGCAACTGCCCGCACTGGAGACACACCTGGCCCCACATGGTTCCCAGCATGTGCTCACACCTTATGCTTTTGTAACAGTTCCCACTCAGGAGAGCTCTTTTGAGAGAACCCAGTTGTCCTTTCTTCCCCTGGTTTGTAGGATGTCATTCTAGTGGTTTTAAGTGTTTTTAAAAATCAAGACACTCTCCAACTACTGTTTGCCCTCTGTTTAAGGCTCCTGTCCTAGGCTTCTTGTTACAATTAGAAGCACACGACGAGTAATTACTCGTATTCTCTCTAAATTATCAGTCCCTTGTGTAGAAGAACCCATCTATCTAATCTTTGTTTTCCTACAGCCTGATAGAGTGTAAGGAATCTACTAGATACTTAATGCTTATTTCTTGATTAAATGAATGCAATTTTATTGAGTTACCACTTCATGAAGTTTCCTATTTGTCTTTATACCAGATAGACCGAACAGTACAAAAATAAAATGACTCCTTAAGCACGCGCATGCGCGCATGCATACACACACACACACACACACACACACACACACACACACACACACACACACACACACATTGGAGAAAATGGCAACATTTAATGTATGCACAAAGTCAATAAACTAAGGCATTCAATGTGGTCTGTCTTCTTGAGTTCCATCTCTGTCTTTTACTGTCTGTTTTTTTTTTTAAGCAGATGTATTATCTGTATGTCAAGAATATGTGAGTTAGAGGGAGGTTTTAAATGTCAGACTCCAGGGTGGCCTTTTCTAAGTTGCAGAGGACAAGAAGAAGAGCAGGAACAAATGTTAGAGGGCCATCTCTTTTGGCTGCTTCCTTCCTATATGAATTCCCTAAGTGGCAATTTGTGCTTCTCCTCTTCTTGTGCAATTCTGCTTGTTTTCAAATTCCTTCTGATCAAGCTCCAGTCTATGAACGCTGAATGCATCCTGAATATTGAAATATAGATAATGCACTCCATTTTCCTTGAAGAACTCTAAGCTTTCTGACATCTTCATATAGACAAATTCAGTCTGATCTCCAGTTTAAGAATAGGCAAGATCATTTCTGGGCCTAAGTGTGATATCTGTGGCGGTTCAAAGAAGACTCCCAGGGCCTGCTTCTTCCTTACAGTTTTCTTTACTTTGGGCCTTGATGGCAAACAGAATAGAGTCATTCCAGCTCTCCAGATAGTCAAAGAAACAGGCCATGTCCCTTCTAAGTCTCCTGTTCTCTGAGTTGCCCCCCTCCCCTCCCTTTGCACCTCCGTATCTTTCAAAGTTTCCATCCCCATCGACATCTTATCTCCATTTATTCTGATGTCAGTTGAAGTCTGGATTTTGGGTGCTTTTCTATTTACTTACTTTTCAGAATACAGGACTATTAATTTTCTAACTCTACAAAAGCTTTTATTCTATGAGTATAAACTGTCAGTAAGTTTGGTGTTTTTTTGGCAACCAATGTATAATTGTGATTCTTATTGAATGTATAAACCACAAACTGTTCCTTTTGTGAATTCCTATTGATTTCTGAACCACAAGCACAGGAAATTACATTTACACTCCTAGGATCTACCTTGCTAGACTGATTCTGCCCCGAATCCCAATCCTTTGTAACACTTTCTGCCATGAATCAATCATACTTTACATTGATTATGCCTCTAATTGCTCTATATTAGTAGATTTTTGTTAGTCTTAGAGTCAGGATAGGATGGATATATTGAAGGAGAAACAATTTCTTCACTGAAGAGGCTTATAAAATCAAAAGGATTGTTTGTGCCTTGTGCTACATGTCCATTGTGGATTGGTTGGGTCTCTGTTTCTAGCTTCCTTGGGAGTCAGGCTGAGTAAAACCTTCACTTCCACTGAAGTCAGTTAACATGGAAGAAGGAAAAATGATTCTGGGAGGTTTCAAAATTAGCAATTAGAAGTAAGACACATTACTTTAGCCTAGAGGTGTTGGGCAGAAGTGGTTTAAGTAAAAAGTGTCCTCCATAGGCTCATGTATTTTTCAAACACTTGGTATGCAGTTGGTGGCCTTGTTTTAGGTTATAGAACTTTTAGGATATAGATCTTTGCTGAAAGAAGTGCACCCTGGGAGTAGGCTTTGAGAGTTAGTAGCCTTGTCCCACTTCCAATTCACCCTCTGTTTCTTATGTACAGGCAAAGTGTGATGGGTCAATCAAGAGTCCTGTTCTTTCTGCCATATGTGACCCCACTATTATGGATTCTAGCCATCTGGACTGTAAGTCAAAGTACACTTTCTTCCTTAAGTTGCTTCTGGTCATGATATTTTATCTCAGGAACAGAAAAAAAACCTAATACCCCTTTGCTCCTTAGCTGGAATAATTTTGTATACTTGTCAACTATATGGAGGATAGAAATTGCAATTCTATCATATAGTCATAGATACTTCATGAACTGTGCCAAAGACAAACACAGCATAATCTTTATGCTACTGATACACTAGTTAACAAAAAAGATTTGTGTGTAAGGCAAAGACCTAGGAAATACTCTTATAATGCATTCCAGGAAATCTTTAAGATGGGCATGGATATATTATTCAACACTCTATGCAATGGATTCACTCAGTAAGGCACAACTCTACTTGAGTCTCTTGTCATACTTTATCATCTTATTTACATCACATTCTGATGTAAATGTAAAGCCTGTTCTGAGACATGCAATCTTTACTTTTTAAACATGAGTTTTTGTGTTTGCTTTACCATTCTGTAGCATTCTGAGGACTGAGAAATAAGCATACATTTCTGGGATTCAAGGCTTTTTTTTTTCAGTTTAGGAATCACATGAAGAAAATTTAAGAAATAAATCTCTATAATTTAAAAATTCTAAAAAAAATCTTATCCTGCTTATCTTTTCCAATAATGTGTTACTTCTGCCATTTATTAGTGTTTCTGAAACCCTTGCAGCTTACAACAATCATCTCTTCTGTTTGTACATCACTCTTAGATTCTATGAGATATGGAAACTAGAAGAGTTTTTGAGGAGAGCTACATGAAGAAAAAGGAATATACAGTTTATAGTGCTGAGAACATATATGGGGGGAAAATTATTGATTGTAATGAATATCATAATCAAAAGTGACTTATGGAAGAATAAGTTTATTTTGGTTTATGGTTCCAGATGGGGAGTCCATAATGGCAGGTGAGGCCTGGGAGATGACTGAAGCAGGAAGCTGAGGGATCATGTATCCAACCACAACAGGAAGTAGAGAGCAAAATGGAGGCGGGGCAAGGCTATACACTCTCAAAGCCTTCTCTCAGGGATGTGTTTCTTCTGACAAGGCTATACTTTTCAAAGATTTCATGTCCTCTCCAAACAGCACCATCAATTGGGAACCACCTGTTCAAACAACCTAAGCCTGTGGGGGACATTTCTCATTCAAACCACAACAACAAACAAAACAGAATATTATCTTTGAGCAGCATGGAGGACTTCTTGGCAGTAAATGTTAGGTGAGTGATCTATGTTTAGTAGATTGTGTTACTGTTTCTAGTTTTTCATAACCTTTATTTAGAAGTAGAATTTTATGTGTTGGGACTTTGGACTTCATGTGTTACTTTGGCCAATAAAAGGTGGTAGAAGGTGTGTGTTTAAAGAGGAAGCATTAAGAAATGTCACTGGATCTGTTGTTGCTATTTCCCTAACTATACTAGAATAGCATGTACCAAATACGTCTCTTTTTCAGCCTGGATTAAAAAACAAGTCACAGAGAGACTGCAGCCAACCTATATCAACTTGTAAGGCATTTGGGAAATAAACTTTTGTTATAAGTCACCAAGATAATGAGTTATTTATTTCTTGTTTTTTAAAATTATTATTACTTTTATCATCATCATTATTATTATTTTACTTCCTCACCACTGTTTCCCCTCCCTCCCTTCCTCCCAGTCTCTCCTCCCATCTCCTCTCTATCCACTTTTCCACTTCTATTCAGAAATGGGCAGGCCTGTCATGGATACCAACCAAACATGGCATATCAAGTTGCAATAAGACTAGACACCTCCCCTCATATTAAAGCTGGACAAGGCAACCCAGTATGAGGAACAGGGTCCCAAAAGCCAACAAAAGAGTCAGAGACAGCCCCTGCTCCCACTGTTAGAAATCTCACAAGAAAACCATTATTACACAACTATTACACACACACACACACACACACACACACACACACACACACACACACACAGAGGGTCTAGGTCAGTCCTGTGCAGGCTCCCTGGTTGTCAGTTCAGTCTCTGTGAGCCCCTGTGAGTCCAGGTTAGTTGATTCTGTGGGTTTTATTGTGGTGTCCTTGACCCCTCTGGTCCAAACCATTTTTCCCTCCCTTCTCCCATAGGCTTCTCCGAACTCCACCTAGTGTTTGGCTGTGGGTCTGCATCTGTTTCCACCAGTTGCTGGATGAAGCCTCTCTGATGACAGTTGGGGTAGGCTCCAGTCTACAAGTATAGCAGACTATTTTGGGCAGATGATGAGTTTTATTTGTAATCACATTAGTTAGTAAAAAAAATAACTGGTACAGGAAGCTGGCTAGTAGGTGTGGTAATATTTTGTATGTGCTCTAACAAATAAAGCTTGCCTGAAGACCAGAGGGCAAAGCTAGCCACTAGTTAATGCTGTGGGATGTTCTGTATGTTAAATGTGTTACTCTGATTGGTTAACAAATAAAACACTGATTGGCCAGTAGCCAGGCAGGAAGTATAGGCAGAACAAGGAGAGTGGAGAATTCTGGGAAGTGGAAGGCTGAGTCAGAGAGATGCTGCCAGTGACTGCCATGACAAGCGAGATGTAAGGTACCAGTAAGCCACGAGCCACATGGCAACTTATAGACTAATAGAAATGGGTTAATTTAAGATATAAGAACAGCTAGCAAGAAGCCTGAGCCATTAGGCCAAACAGTTTAAATAATATAAGCGTCTGTGTGTTTATTTTATAAGTAGGCTGTCGGACTGCCGGGGCTTGGCAGGACCCTGAGAGGAAACTCCACCTACAAGTTAATCATAGAGGCCAGGCAGTTGTGGCACACACTTTTGATCCCAGCACTTGGGATCTCACATCTTAAATCCCAGCACGAGGGAGGTGGAGACAGGAAGTGATGTGGCTAGGTGGAGAGAGAACTATAAGGCAGGAGGAGACAGGAGCTCAGAGCCCTTTTGGCTGAGGATTGGGTAGAGGTAAGAGCTAGTGGCTGGCTGCTCTGCCTCTCTGATCTTTCAGCATTTACCCTGATAACTGGCTCCGGGTTTTTATTAGGACCAATTAGGATTCATGCTACAAGTAGAAATATAGAACTAGCCTTGAGACCCAAGGTAATGAACTATCAAAAAGTTTTAAAAGAAGGGTTTTAAGATTACTAGGATTATTGAATACAGTGGAAAAAAAATCAAGAAATACATGAACTGAAAGGCTATCTGTTTTGGAGACCAAGTAATGCCTGTAAAAAGCTTTTATAAATAAGAAAGAATTGATTAATGGTAAGACATTGTCCTAAAACATTATTGATTCCTAGCAGCAAATTTAGTGTTGGCTATAGAAACTGTAATGTTTGTGACCTAGAAAAACTGATTCTAAATTAAGAGGACAAAGAAGAAATAAGGGATGAAAAAAAAATAAAGATAGCCCAAAGGAAGGACTTTGATGAAGATATTCTTTCTTAGATAAATAGCATTGTTGATATAGGTCTCTGTGTTGAGCTCTGAGAAGGTAGGATATCATGATCCCAAAATGGGCCCAGGGTGCACTCTGATTGCTTTGTTATAAAAAGGGTATCAAAGTCACATTCTCAATAAATAGCCCTGTCATGCCCAGACTCCTTCTTACTCGGAGGAAACCAGACAGGGAGAGCCCATCCAGGACTCAAACACCATCACCTTGATTGATTGCAAATGCCTCACTAGGACTGGAAGAAAGGGACTACAGGGTGGAGACCAAGCTTCCTCTTTCTGCAAACAACACAAGATGATAAAATACAATCTGCCAAGTACTTTGGTAGTTGTGTTTTTCAGAAAAAAATCTTTCACAGCTCTCATCATCACATTTCTCCATGTAATTGGAGCCATGGGATTGAGATACATTAATCTGCACTCCTCAGCAAGTTATAAGAGGCAGAAATAACAGAAATCACAGAACTTCTGCTGGAAGAAATGCTGCCTTAATAAATTCGTAGGAAGAAACAATGATCCAGGACAGAAGGAGGAATTCAGTACTTACCTGGAAACAAAATCTCACCCAATATTCTTCAGCAATGGTTCTCAAATCACTGTGTGAGTCTCTCTGATTGGCTTGAACTTTCCCTGACACATCATTCTAATTCATGCCTTATGCATGCTTTGTTCTTGATGTTAAACTCTTGTCTGTCTTGCAAGATGCATGCTAGTTTTGTCTCAAATGTTCCCAATGAGCTGTGTGATTTCCATTCTTCTATCACTTTGCACTTCAATCAGTGAGTCTCTCTGTCTTTTTCCTCCACCACCATTCAACTGCACTGGGAAAAGAACCATGTAGCATTTTGACTTGGTATCCTAGGAACCTGATAGTCTGTCTGATACAAGGAGGGTGCTAAATCAATATTAAATGCAGGACTTTATACTTTCTCTACAATCTCCTTTTCCTCCATTTTTGTTTTGGGGAAGGGTCTGTCCCCAGATTTGGTTTTCCTGTCTTTTACTGAACTTTGCAACTAATTCGAGAATTCTAGAATGAATCCAAGACAAGAATGATCACATGTCAGAAATCAGAGGTTCTGGCCTCCAAGTTGCTGTTTGCTTTTAAAAAAGAAAATCAAGTTAGGGCCTCATTATGAAGCCAAAGATTGGTCTTCAACTCGTGATCCTCTGCCTCAGCATACCAGTTTGCTTCCTTGAGGGACAAGCTAATGTGGAATTTGTTCTCTGCATTATACAGAGCACTGTGGTCTATAATCCCCTGGGGGTCTACAAAACTGCACAGTGGAGGCAAAGGGAGAACAGGCTAGCATCAATAGCACAGCAAGCCTGTGCTCAGGCATTTGGCAGAAAGCAGCCTGGGTACCACACTGATTTGCCTTTTTGATCATGCCCTAGCTAAGGTGTTGCTTTCAACCAGAAAGGCGAGTTTTCATGTTTGATTCCAATGGACATGCTTAAACTAACTGCCTTGCCAGCAGATGGCAATTTGGGGTATGCTGCTTCTCTTACTAGATGTTTCTTTAATTGTGTCTCCACAGAGAAGAATATTCTACAGGGAAGATTATCAGCTGGCTTTGGAAGCAAATGCCCAGGTTTTGTTTCAGTTGAAAGATGGCACTTTTTCACCATATACATTACATTTTATATTTAGACCTGGAACACATCTTTATTTTTTCAAGAATCATTAAAAAGAAAAAAAATAAAAATGAGGGAGGAGAAAATCAAAGTGTATAGTCAAAAAGATAAATAATTCAAGGTGCAATTCTGTCTTAAGCAGGTCATTATGATAAGGTGTTATATTTGGATTTCTAAAATCTGAGAATGCCCACTTGCTGTGGAACAATCCTTTTGTACAAGATGAATATGTGTTACTCTCATTGGTTAATAAGGAGCTGACTTGCTGATAGCTAGGCAGGAGTTTGGGGACAGAAGAATGCTGGGAAGAAGGAGGGCAGTCTGAGGAGATGCCATGAGATGCAGAGAGAACAGGATGGGAAGTTTATACAGGAGGTTAGTAAGCCTTGATTAATATAAACATATTTATATTAATATATAATGCACATAGATTAATATAAACGGGTTAGTTTAAGTTATAAGAGTTAGCTACAAACAAGCTTAAGCTATCGGCCAAGCATTTATAACTAATATTAAATCTTTGAGTGGTTATTTGGGAGTAGCTAGGAGAGAAAAACTCCATCTATACCCACTCATAATACCACAAATCCAAAGAGATCACTTAGCAATATTAAACAACAATACCAGCTACCATGTATTAACGGCTACATTATTTTCAATTTTCCATATCCCTTCATAATAGTGAATTTTCTATTATTCTAAATGAGGAAATGGAAACTTGCAGTGTGAATTGTCATGAATTCCACCAGCTTTGAGGACAGAGCTTAGAGTCAGGCAGTGCTCTGTTCACACCCAAGTTGGATGCATTTAGCAAAATCACTGAAACTCTTATGGTTCAGTTCTTTCTCTGCAAAATACATATAATAATCATTTCCTCACAGCACTGCAGGTGGAGGCAAAGCAAGACCATCATCGTCTGATCCTTACCTCCAAAGCTTTTTTTTGTCCCTTTTGTTACTGGTTGCTATGGGTTCCAGTAGACTAGTTGTGGTTGTCTGAATGTGAATGGCCCCAATAGATGTTTAAATATTTGGACCCTGTTGATAGGAACATTTGGGAAGGATTAGGAGGTGGCCTTGTTGGAGGAGGTATGTCACAGAGGCAGGTTTTGAGGTTTTAACATATACTGTTGCAAGGTATTTGATTACACTGCATAAAGATATGTCACTGTGATCGGTTTAATAAAAAGCTAAACTGCCAATAGCTAGGCAGGAGGTATATCTGGGACTTCTGGACAGAGAGAGCTCTGGAAAAAAGAAAAACAGGGTCTCCAGCTGGATGCAGAGGGAGCAAGACATACAAGAGGAGAGGTAAAAGCCATGAGCCACTTGATAGCACATAGATGAATAGAAATGGGTTGATTTACATTATAAGAGATGGTTAGAAACAAGCCTAAGCTATAGGCTGAGCTTTCATAATTAATAAGTCTCCGTGTCATTTTTTTTGTGAGCTTGCAGCCCAAAGAAAGCCTGCTACATCCCATCATTTCCAGTATGCCCTCTGCCTCCTACTTATAGTTTGAGATGTGAACTCCTAGCTGTTACTTCCACCATGCTTTACCTTCACCATTATGAACTCTAGTTAGCCCTCTGAAACCACAAGCCCAATTAAACATATAATTTTATAAGTTGCCTTGTTGATGGTGCTCTATTACAGCACTAAAAAAAAGTAACTAGTATGTAAGTTCCTGGATGCATCCACCAAATACATTAACCCCTTTCATCACTTTTGAGCTAGGGCAATTGTTTTCAACCAGAAAGACAGAAAGGCATTTTTTCTTGGTTGATTCTGACAGACCTACTTTGCCAGCTGCCTGCAATTTGGTATGTGCACCCTTTCCTCACTAGTTGCTCCCCTTATTGTGTATCAATTTATGTGTCCTGGGAGTTTGTATTTGTAAAAGTCGGCATGTCTGGTCATCTGATTGACTAGTGAGGTGCTTCTGCCCACACTGTTTGTCGTTTCTCAATACTGCCTGCTTACCAACATCAATGAATAAGCCACAAACTTACGCCAAATCTGACTTGGGAGAATGCAGAATCTGCCTTTGAAAATCCTTTTCTCTTTGATTTGTATAAAAAGCCTGGCTGCAGGTCACTGATTTGCACTTTGCCCAAAGAGGATTG